CTTCCTCACCTACAATCCTATACAACCTAGTACATATTTTTTGGTGTTGTACTAAGAGCACTGTAATGTAACTGAGTTATATGGTGTTCATTCATCTACCCTGTTAGGCTACGAAATCCCTCATATTTGTATCCCAAATGCCTACGATAAAGGTTGTCACACTTTAAACATTTAATCAGCTCCTTTTAAGGGAGATGAATGAAGGTATGTACACAGTAAGAGAAATGTTATATACCCTTATTATAACTTTCTTTCTAGGGAGAAGGAGATTCATAAAATTAGGCACAGAGGATACCCCATCCTTTTATGTGGCTTCATCTTATTGTCTAACTCTCAAGTGCACTCTGTGCCTGATAGAGGTGCATTAGAGTAAATGTTTCTTACATAGGTCAGCTAGTTAGAAAAATACCTAGTTGGTGAAGGAGTTGCTTAAAGTTAAGCAAAACCCTCATGACCATTTATTGCTCAGAAGAGATTAACTGCCTTTCTTAGCAGATGTGTGAAATCCTCATAATTGCCAGCTGGAGTCATTTCAAGTTTTATTTTGGCAGGGCTTAAACTAACAGGCAGCAAAAACTGTCTTTGTTTATTAAGGAGTTATCAGTGTAACTCCTTAAATAACTATGTTACATAATATGTAACCCCACATCACTGGGCTCAGTTAATTCTCATCATTCACTCATAAGCCAGACATGCTACCTCTCTCTAAGGTATTTGAAAGAGAAGAAGACCATCTGCTACAATCCCTTTCTTAAATTCTTGATTCACGTATGGAGCCTGCAGGATTCCCAGAGGATATAGCATCCTACTCAAGGTGTGGGTGGGGCTAAACAGTTCAAAAGCAACTTCATTTTTTGTGGGACCCAGAGGAGTGGTAGTGAGAAAGATAAGAGGCAGCAATCTGACACATGCAGAGGTGCTCCTGGACTCACTGCAGATTTTGCATTTTTAAATTCTGTTATTTCATATTCTACTCTAAGGTCTTGGTATAGTAGAAAGATCCTAGGCCTGAGTATATTAGAAAGAACATAAAACTAAGAATCCAGAACTGTGGATTCTAGTCTCAGGTCTGCTAACAACCATGGCAGGTAATCTCAGTTTACACTTCTGTAAAGTGAACATATTATAGTTCCATTCAGCATTCAAATTATAACAACTTCATGGCTTATTTTTACAGAACCCCAGATTCTTTTGAGCCTTTGTCTTTAGCCACAGACAATTTAACCGTCAATTGGTGTAGCAATGACAAATCAATCTGGCTAACTCTTTTTCCCAGTTATCTTTAGCCTGGTACTTCCTGTTGACTTTGAGCAAAGGAATTACTTTCCTCAGTCTTGTGGCAATATTTTGGCCTAGAGACTGGGTTAAGCAGATAGAAGTGCTATGACATCCCTTTGGAGGCTGATTGTGGTGGTCATGTTGTTCTTTCCAAAATATCCTAAATGTAAATTCAGTAACGTCAAAGTAGTCTCCAGGAAATTCAGATTACCCTTAAATTGGAAGATGTCTTTTTTCATGTATATTAAAAGCACTCAATTATTCTACAATTAAGAGGAGTATTTTTTTTTTAAATAATCTGGCTTGGTAATCTCAAACTTCTCCCAATTCCACTTCTTTAATTCTCTTTTCTTCATCAGCTGTCAAAGAGGTTTTAAGAATGCACCCTGTTTGGCATGGGAAAGGAGAAGGAAACCAGCATTTCTAGAGCATCTTTCAGGACTGATTCCAACCTTCATCTACAGACCACACCATAGAAGGGTGAGAGGCCTATTTTTGCCCCCCCCTCCCATTTCCACTCCATGCCTTATACAGCAGCCCTGAGTGGGCTGAGGACTCTGCTCTGTATGAGATCCCCCTGAAGCTCACTGCCCTAGAAGAGACTAGCAGGAAGTGGTATCTGATCAGTGTCACAACTTTGTGGGCAGAGACGTGGTTTATGAGCTTAGTTAAGAGGACAGCTGATGGAAGCAAGGCCATGGGCTTCAGTTCCATCAGGCCAGTTCATGTTGCCCTGTTTCCTGATGGGAGTTGATGCTCCATCTCAAAATTGTATGCCAAGGCTCTCAATGGGAAGTAGGATATGGGATAATCTGGATGAAGTTTGTACCATTGTGTTAGGGACTAAAATAACATCTTTGAATGCATAAGCACTTTCTATTTAATCCTCACGATGCATCTGTGAGGTACAGTTATGACTATTAGAAAAGGAAACTGAGGCTCAGAGAGTTTTAAGTAACTTGTCCAATGTAACTAGGAACAAAATCCAGGTATCTCTGAATTCCAACTCTGTTTTTTCCATAGCACCATGCAATTTCCCAAAATGTCTGTCTTCATTCAAAAGGGCTAATCATTTTCCTTTTTTTAAAGTCAGATTCAGAGTCTCACTCTCTCACCCAGGCTGGAGTGCCATGGCATGACCATAGCTCACCACAAGTTCAAACTCCTGGGTTTAACCAATCCTTCCATCTCAGCTCCAATATAGCTGGGACTACAGGCGTATACCTAGTTTTAAACTTTTTTTTTGTAGAAATGGAATCATGCTATGTTGCCCAGGTTGATCTCTGACTCCTGACCTGACCTCGAATCCTCCTGAGTTAGCCTCCCAGAGTGTTGGGATTACTAGCAGGAGCCATTGTGTCTAGGGATTCATTTTTTTGTGTTAGCAAAAGATGATCAAAAAGTGTCCAACAGCTTAGAACAAAGAGGAATGACAGTAGTCAGTACTGCATGAAAACTGAGTATCAGTTCTTGAGTTTTATGTTAGTCTAATTTAAAGATTTATTTAATTATATTCAGAAGATGGAAATAGGTAAGTTTTAAGTTGAGTTGACTTGTCTCCTGAATATGATTCTCAGTAAATGAGTGGTAAAATTTCCCTCCCCTAATAACATTTTGAAGGAACTGGGAGGGTCTAACCTGACTTTACTCTAAATGTGTCATTCCTAAACTGGCTTTGTGTCTTAGTGGTTGGTGCCTTAGAGCCAGCTGACACAGGTTTTGGCTCTGGGGAGCTCTGACTCTTGGAGATCTTTTCCCACCTCTACATTCAGTGATTCTGTAGTGGCAGCTTGAAATTGACCCTAGTGAGAGCATTTACACCACAGAAATCAGTGAACTATACAAGCCATCTCTATCCCATTTTTTTTTTTCCTACTGGAGAGGTAGGAAAAAAATTAAACATTTACCCTATGGTTTCAACAATCATTCTTAATCATAGATATCTGGTAATCAAAGCTGACAGCATTTCCAGATCAAGCTGGTTTTCCTAGGAATACGACCCTGTAATATGACATTAGAATGACTGAAAACTGTCACAAGGATATAATGTGCAAAATACCTCGGATTATTAACCTACTTTAAGCAAGTTTCTCCTGTACTTTTCAGGGCTTCCTGAAAACTTGAAAGAGAACTCCTGTAAACTCCCCCCAGTATCCTCAGAAGTCAAGAACAATTATTCACTTGAGAATGTTGAATAGGACAAGAGAAAAGAAGAAGGGAAGAAACATTCGTTAAGCGATCCTATTAAAATGTCTTCAAAATTGTCTTTAATATTTTATGTAAAATTTCACTGTAGGTAATTGTATTTAAAAAAAGTATATCATGAGCTAATATGTCAAAGGAACAGGGAACTTTAACAGATGTACTGACATGAAGAAATGTGTGCGAAGGCACTGATGTGGTCAAATCTTCAGAACTCCCCAAGACTACCTCTCTGGACTTCTATGTTTCATCTCCAAAATTATAGCTACATGCAAAAACATAGCTTCATACATGCTTGGTGGGGGTGTAAAATGGTACAATCATTTTGAAAAATTGTTTGGTAGTATCTAATACAGGCATCCCCAAACTTTTTACACAGGGGGCCAGTTCACTGTCCCTCAGACCGTTGGAGGGCCGCCACATACTGTGCTCCTCTCACTGACCACCAATGAAAGAGGTGCCCCTTCCTGAAGCGCGGCGGGGGGCTGGATAAATGGCCTCAGGGGGCCGCATGCGGCCCGTGGGCCGTAGTTTGGGGACGCCTGATCTAATATTTCTAAGTATTTTATTCAAGAGTAATAAAAGTTGCATGTCCACACAACTCACCTTTATTTGTAAGAGCCCCCAAACAAACTAGAAACACACAAATTCCAATAACAGGACATTTGTGGTATATTCATAATTTAGATTATTACTCAGTAATTTAAAGGAACAGACTATTGATACACACACCAACATATACATTGTGGGATATTCATACATTTTGGTACATTCATATTTTGGACTAGTGCACAGGAATTAAAAGGAACAGGAACACACTATTGATGCAATGACCTGGGTGTATCTCAAAAACAGGAACTGTGAGAAAGAAATACCATACAGCAAATACTTTATGATTTCATTTATATGTAATTCAAGAAGAGGCAAAACTAATCTGTGGTAATAGAAATGAGAAGACTGGTTGTCCCTGACCTGAGGGTGAAAGGATTGATTTGGGAAAGGATCTGTGGGAACTTTCTGTCTGGGGCGATGAAAATGTTCTAATTCTCTCTCTCTCTCTCTCTCGCTCTCTCTCGCTCTCGCTCTCGCTCTCTCTCTCTCTCCCGAGTAGCTACGATTACATGCGCCTGCCAACACTGACGGCTAATTTTTTGTGTTTTTAATAGAGATGGGGTTTCACCATGTTAAACAGGCTGGTCTCGAACTCCTGATTTCAGGTGATCCACCCTCTTTGGCCTCCCAAAGTGCTGGGATTACAGGCGTGAGCCACCACGCCCAGCCAAAATGTTCTAATTCTTTGTTGGTGGTTATACGCTTGTCAAAATTTATCCAACTGTCCACCTATGGTATATTTTAAGCCTGTACTAAATGTAAATTAGAACTCAATTAAAATCTGTATGAATAAATATAAATAAACACATATTTACATTTCTAATCTAATCCGATGGTCTATTGCAATGAATCCTGCTCCCCTCTGACCCAAGAATTCCGCACTTTCTTTCCACCGGCCTTTCAAATACCTGTACTTCATGGCTTCAGAAGGTGGATTCAGGCTTCTTCAAGGCACAATCACCCGCAGGTCATTTCCGTCTAGGTTGGAGATTTCCCATCACTGACACAAACGCTCCCTCTGAACAGCCCAGCCTGGACAACAGGAGAAAGTTTGGGAGTCAGGTTCAATTCAACTTTTCAAGTTGGCGGATAATTCCTCTCCCTCTTACACAGTTTGCAGCAGGGGCGGGGTCACAGCCCCCCGGCTTAAATCAGCCACCCCTCAGGCTCCGCCCCGGCGGGGGTCGGCCGGACGCTCGCCCGGCATAAAGCCGGCACTCCGGCCGACTGGAGCAGGACACTGCTCGCCTCCTCCCGCCCAGCGATATCTCGGACGCCTCGCCCAGCGGGCGGCTAGTCGCCCTGGACCATGGACCCCTCTCGCCCCGTGGGACTGTCGATTTTGCTCCTGCTCCTAACGGAGGCTGCACTGGGCGATGCTGCTCAGGAGCCAACAGGTATCTGGCCACTCTGGGAGCCTCTGTCCCCAAAGAGTTTCCCCCGGTGTGGGCGGAGAGGGCACAGTGGGCCAAAGGGCCCCGCGCACCCGCCCTCCAACCCCCACTTCCTCCAGGCTCCTGACTGGCTCCCAAGTTTGCACTTTCTCTGCAGAGGCCCCTCCGCTAGGAATCGGCGGGGACATAACTCCCCGGGATGCCCCTTCCTCCTAGGAGCTACACCTAACCACTTTCCCTGTCTTTCCCTTTCCTTCTGACTCTCCTGCAGGAAATAACGCGGAGATTTGTCTCCTGCCCCCGGACAAAGGACCCTGCCGGTCCCGAATTCCTAGGTACTACTACGACAGGTACACACAGAGCTGCGGCCAGTTCACGTATGGGGGCTGCGAGGGCAACGCCAACAATTTCGAAACCCAGGAGGCCTGCGACAACGCTTGCTGGCGGATAGAGAGTAAGTGCCCCCGGGCGCACCCGGGACTCCCTCGTGCGCGCCTTGCGCAGGCAGCCAGTAACAACTTTGCCGGTTTCCCAAGTCTCGCTATCTACAGGAAGTTGTAGCCTGGGTTTTCTCGTGTTAAGCAAACCCCATGGTTTTCAGTTTCTCAAAAGTATTCACTAATTTACAACCACTAACACATTTCCTGTCTCCCAACTGACATTGATCATAATTCAATGCCTGGGCAGACTAAGGGATAGATTTGTTACTTCATCATAGAGTATAATAAATGCAAGAGAATAATGTGTTAGGTGCAACATAAGTGCTTCTCTGTATTTATCATTAGTTCCAATCCTATGGTTTTTCTCTCTCCTGGAGGACATAATTTCCTCTTGTCGATTATCCATCAATCTGAAATACTTTAAGTGGATTTTATTATTGAAGTGTGATTTGGCTCAACTCTATTTTTGTCCTGATACTCAAACGTGTTGGATTAGTTGCGGAATATGGTGGAGATTCATTATACTGCTATATTTTACTTTATTTTTAATTTTTAAATTATATCTGTTAAGGCCTGTAAGAGAACATGGGGCTTTATCATTCAAGGAACTGAGGCAGGAGAAAACGTGTATTCATGTGACTAAGCTTTGATTAACTGCATATGTACAAACAATCAGAGAACACCCAGAGAAAACAGTCTTTCCACTCAACTTGAAAGATGTATCACAGCTGAGTCAGCTGAATACAGACTCTTAGAAAAAAAGTAAAGAAAAAGGTAAATAGCTGGATTCATGGGAGTGTTCTGGGGATTTACTGTCCCAACAATAATATGACTTCTCCCTGTGCCCCCAAATGTTGCTGAAAACACAGTAAAAGTTTGAAAGTAATAATAAGAAGGCTACTTTTGACTAACATTGTTTGATTGCCCTCGTTTTCCTAGAAGTTCCCAAAGTTTGTCGGCTGCAAGTGAATGTGGACCAGTGTCAGGGGTCCATAGAAAAGTATTTCTTCAACCTAAGTTCCATGACATGTGAAAAATTCTTACTCGGTTGGTGTCACCGGAATGTGAACATGTTTCCAGATGAAGCTACTTGTATGGGCTTCTGTGCACCAAAGAAAAGTACGTACTATTTTTATGGTAGTTCTATTTCACTTTTTTATTAAGACATTTGGGTGGGAAAAAATTCGATTTGATGTGAAATAATGTGGTTTGCATTCTCATGATTTCACATTACCTGGCAAGTTAATGACTTGTCAAGTTCTTAAGACTGGAAGTGACAAAGCCATGATTCAAATTTTTTCTTTCTGCCTCTTCTGAATTATGTCTTTAGAACTATTTCTCATCTACTCAATTCACACATAAAAGATTATTCATTAATCAATGTTATGACCTCAGATTTGTACAGAATCAGTTATACATGTGGGATAGTGGAATATATACAGAATTAAGATGGTGAAACTTAAAAATTTATTTCTAAAGTTTTTGGTTAGATTTCTATATTCTTTAGTAATTGCAAATTGCAGCACAAACAATTCTACACGTTTCTGTCCAATCCATCTGTTACCTCTCACGCCACCACCCCTGAATCCTTGAAATGATGGTCTCTTGAGTAGTATTTATTATTTGCAGAGGGAGACAATACAAGGATTTCCCCCAGACACAGAGATTTTTAAAAAGTTCAACAAACAAGGAAAACTTGCTTTGGCAGAGAATTTGATAAAGCTTTATAGCTATACTGTGTTGAATATGCAAAATCTTGAGTTAATGTGGTGACGGTTGCTGTGGATGTTCTCTTGTTTGTGTAGATATGTTTTGTTCCAGTGGTGACCTGGAAATTAATATACCTATATTCTTGATTAATAATAGAATGAGAGCTGTGAAAAACATTAAAATAAAACTATCAACACAACAAAGTTTACTAAATCATGCCATATATTGTCCTTGAAACTTAGCCCATTTTTACCTAACCACATCTGGTATTTGGGTTTAACTTCTCTTTATATTTAAAGACTACAAATATGTAGCTTCAGTTTATAAAACTTTACAGTTACCAAAATATAGCATGTAAGTTTACCTGCAATTTGAAGCACACCTTTTAAAGGTTTAGTATGATATCTTGGATTCAGAATAAGGCTTCTATGGGATTAGTTTTTCTTTGGTTACTTCAGTAATCACCGTAATTTAAAAATTCTGGTATTATAACATTTCTAATGTTCTTCTCTTTTTTACAAAGGTCTATCATATTGCTACAGTCCAAAAGATGAGGGACTGTGCTCTGCCAATGTGACTCGTTATTATTTTAATCCAAGATACAAAACCTGTGAGGCTTTCACCTATACTGGCTGTGGAGGGAATGACAATAACTTTGTTAGCAGGAAAGGTTGCATACGTGCATGTGAAAAAGGTAGTGAATGTTTTCTTATTCCACCTTTAGATAAACTTTATAAATAACTTAGCAGCAAAATTATATTTTTATTTATTTATTTCACTAAAAGCAAATTGCCATTTCTAGGCTACCCCTACATAAGTATCTCCATGGTGTTAATCAGTATTGTCAAAATGTTTTTATTGGCTAGCTGCAGTAAACAGTAGCTGTATCTTCATATCTTAAAGGTAGTGTTATTAGCTGAGTGTATAATGAGTTTTGACTTTACAGTCCTTAAAAATAAGATGAAGTGAGCTCAATAAGCATATCAGAAATGGTGATTTATAGTGAGCCTACAGACTGAAGATGTATGATTTTCATTTTTTTTTTTTATTGATTTTAGCCTTGAAGAAGCAAAGGAAGATGCCAAAGCTTCCCTTTTTCAATAGAACCCTGAAAATTTGGAAGAAGCAATTTTAAGCATTTTTATTGTGTCATCTTGTGAATGCTTATTTGCCTTTATGGTTTTATCTGAAGAATAATATGACAGCATGAGGAAACAAATCATTAGTGATTTATTCACCAGTTTTTATTGATATAAGTCACTTTTTAAATTTGTATTTTTTAAAATATATAACTGGCTGCTATTTAAATGTGAGTCTACCATTTTTTATTTTTTAATTTATGGTACAACTGTTTGTGAGACTGAATTCTGCAGTGTGTGAGATATAAAAGCAAATATGATTCACCCATTTCTTGGGATTGTATTCCTGATTCCAGAAGAGGATAGTAACTGAAATAGCACAAGACAATATAATTGTGTGCTTTCAACATATTTGAGAATAAAAAGGACTAGCAAATAAAAATCAATTTGTGTTTAAAAGTTGGATTATATTTTAGGCCCAAGAACACAAAGTTGGAGATTTACCAACACTTTGAAAAATATTCCAAGTGCTTTTACGCAGATACAACTAATATTATTCCCATTTTATTGTGTTAGATTGCAGTACAATGAATGAATAAGGGGATTTATTTAAAAGATCATAACTTTCTTGACCAATTTAAAAAGCTAATCAATTTATTAAAACCAGAAATGTTCACAATTTCTATCTATTTATCTATCAATCCCCACTCACATGTATATATTTGTGTTGACATATTGATACAAGGTTTTAAAAGTTTTCCTGCTACATTTTTCCTAAGATGTAGTGGGTTGGAGACCACTGAAGTTATAAGAGACCAAGGAAAGTAAAGTTGTTCAAATGTTTGTACTGCTTAAGGTGTTTATTTTTATAAACCATGCATGAGAAACCATGCATAAATTTAACAATTTAAATTCCACCAATAAATTCTCATTGATTAAATATGATCATTCCAGTGAAGCAGGTTTTTTCTTTCTCTGTATTAAAACAATTTTTCATGGCAAGATGAACATATTTAAAAGTATGCCCCTTATTTGGAAAAATTATAAATGCATTTACCTTTCGCTTGAACAGTCTTTCATTTAAAAATGTATTTCAGTTGCTTTGACAAATAGGTATGCCTGAGAACATTGACTGATGCTGAAAACTAGAAACAAACCAGATACTCACCAGTAGGGGACTGGTTGAAGATTTTTATGGATGAATAGTTAGCAAAATATCTACATATGCATGTCTTCTGACCCCCAGGATACATAAGAAACACAGGTCCTAGAACAGTAAAAGTCAGGATTTTCAATGTTAAGAGAAAATGAGACATAAGTATAAAATTAGAGATATTAAGTAAAAATCCTTGACTTAAGTTATAATTAGAAATATCTGTATAAATTCGTAACTGATTTTCTCTATAAAAAAATCTGTATTTCCCACTTTTCCATTGAAAAATCCTTGAGGTAATGATAACTCAGTAGCAGTAGTTACAATTACCATAAAGACTGTGGTCTCTCCATACTCATTAAAAAGAACCAGTGCTCTTAGGAGAATAGCTGAATCCAGGTCTGGGGCAGGAAATACATAAGATAAGCTTGGGCCATCTTACTCCAGAAATCAAGAAAGCTACCAAAGATTAATGAATCACGTCATAAAGGCAGGAGAGTAACATTTAGGAGCTCCCACTAACCTAAAATGAGACAATATGAGCATTGAAACAAATAATGGCCACAGTGTATATAAATATATAGAAATCTGAGTTTATGATTATATGCACACACTTTCTTGGTACATTTTGGAGG